TAAAGTTCAACAAATGGTGTTTAAGTAAGTTTCTTGGCTTATTTTTTATTGTCTTTTTCACTGCCTTCGTCACCATTGCAGTCCTCTGTGAATTTTACTTGCGCTGAAATTTTAACCTATCTTATACCACAGGCAGCCCAAACTCCATGGGAGTTCGTTTGACTTTGAATTTATAAGAGAATGTATGAAAATAAGCAAAATACGTCCTAAATTCCATTTTTTGACAAAAATTGAAATAAAAAATGACTTACCTTCTGTTTGTGTTTTGTTATTTACTGTCTCTTCGCCTCTAGAGCCACTTGGAAGAAGTTTTATCGACGTTTCAGATTCTTATCTTAAACGTCGATAAAACGGCTTCCAAATGGCTCTAGAGGCGAAAAGACAGTAAATAACAAAACACAAACACAAGGTAAGTCATTTTTTTCTATTTTCATCGAAAAGTGGAATTTAGGACGTATTTTGTTTATTTTCATACATTCTCTTATAAATTCAAAGTCCAACGAACACACATAGAGTTTGGGCTCCCTGTGCTTACACCTCGGGTCTCATACACTGTCTAAAACAGTTAGAAACAACAACGTTGTACAGTATAGGCAAATTTAGGGAATATACTGATTCAGTAAACTCTCTTTAAATACCGAAATCGTTGTATAGGACTTGCACAAAGTGTATAAACATCAAGAACGACTGTGCTCGAACTAACTCTTAGTGTTATGTATTTTAGCAGCACCCGGGGGGTACTCCCTTATGTAAGCCATACAGGTATGTGTAGGGCTTTCCACAACTTGCTCGAGATTTTCCAAAGAGTTTCCCGTAATTTCTCAAGAAGTTGCTCAAAAAACAATCAAAAGTTGCTTTTTGTAACGAAAGTTGCTCAAAAGTTGCTCGAAAAAAACACAAACTGTTTTTGGTCTGGTGCTAAAATATGCAAATTGTACTACAACAAAAGTAAGATTTCTAAGCATTTTTTTGCAATTTTGCGGCGTCCTCAGCGTTCCTGAATAACTTTATCTTCAATAAAACCAAAAAATGTAATGAGCCAATAAAATTTGAACGACCAGGTCCACCATTTTGAATTTTCTCTTAAAACCGCTGACCTAGCAGCCCGGCTACTTTTATCTTGCGTCCATGATCTGCGCCAGCGGGGAGGTGTGGGGGGGGGGGGGAAGGGCCCCCTTTTTAAGGGAAATTTATAAATTGTCTACTAAACCATTGTGAAACAGGGAAGATAGGCCAATTTAAGCACTAAAAGCAAGAGATCTCTCTTGCTAAAAGCTGCTCCGATTTCTCAGAATTAGAAGATAACTAGAGAAATTGCTCTGAATGCAAAAATTTGCTCGAGACGACAAAAGTTGCTCGAAATACAAGAAGTTGCAAACAAGTTGCCGAGCAACTTGTGGAAAGCCCTAGGTATGTGCCGCCCCAAAGGGTATGGTTTTTGCGCCGTTTCGGCCTGAAAACAGGTATAGAATTTTTCCCATTTTGGTCTGGAATGGGGTATGCTCGAGCGAGCGAGCCACTGGAGGCATAAATGTATTTGTTTCAATTCCAAAGGTTTCAGAAAGAGAGTATTTAAAAATATGCAAATTCGAAATGGATATTAAGAAATCTTTTTCCTGCCTTTCTAATCTAAGTAATTAATAAACGATTTTTAGAGACCAGGTCTGAAATCGGGTGTGGATTTTAAAGGCTAGGTCTGAAAACGGGTGTGGAAAATCACATTTTTTGGTCTGAAATAGGGTCAGGGTTTGAAGAACCGGGCGGCACACTCCCACCAAAAATTCCTAAGAGTATCCCCCCAGGTAGCAGGAGCCCATACTCGCATAGGTTTCAAGGTCAATTCTATTTTGACTCCTACTTGAACATATCCAAGAGCCATAAAACGGCTCTTAACATGTAATATTATTACAGAGGGGCTCTGAGGGTAATTATCAGTGAGTTACATTATAACCTGATAGATACATAGATACACAAAAATATGCTGAATTAAAGAAGACAAAAGAAAAACGAGACTATGTATAATTCATTGTTTGTTTGTTTTTTTAAAATGACAAAAATAGGAAAAAGGAAAGAAAATCATGTCAATTCTAGATTGATTGTGTGGAGTTTGGGACACAAAATAGTTCATTAAACTAACCGCTGAGGTGATTCAAATCAAAAGTATGCATGGGCAAAGGTAATAAAGCGAAAAAATAGCTGTTTTAAATAAATGGTATTACTACAAAAACTAAAAGTAGTCGTTAAAGACATAACCATAAAATACTTCAGCAATGAATAACACTATCATGATTACAATCATCAATCCTAGAATTCTTAATATGTTGACGAAGTCTAGAAAAAGGCTTGATTTGCTTAGCATCGATTGATAACTGATGAATTCCAATAGTTGGGTACCAATGCAATAGAGATAATGATTCTGTGATTAAAGTCTTGTGTGATAGCGTGGATAATAGAAAGACTTTCTATTATCCATGGTGATAGGGATTAATGGAAGATAATGGATTGACTTGAATAGTCAACAAAACAAGATGGGCTTAATTTATGGTACCACTGATAAACAAAAGACTGATAGCTGAATTTCAAGACAAATTTTTTCAGAAACTTTATAGACTGAAATACTTAAGCAGTATTTCCGGGGTATTTAATCTAGGGTCAGAAAAATTCATTATTCTGAGAACTCGTTTTTGCAAAGTTGTATGCTGGGTTTGTGGGAGACCCCAAAATTGAATACTATAAGAGAGAAAGGGGTAAATTAGAGAATAAGCTTTCTAGTCTTTTGGGGTGTCCCGTTACAGTGTGTATTTTTAAGTCTATTCCGTGTATTTCTCTTTAGTTGCTTACAGTACAAATTAACTTTGTTGTAGTTGTACAAATGAACAACGATATTTCAGTATAGCACTGGCACGGGAAGACTATTAGCCAGTTAAACTAGTCGAAGTATTAGTCCGTTAACAGTTCGCATAGTTATACGTTTGTTACTATTGTCACAATGGAAATAATGTAAATCCTGGTAAATTCTGAAAAGCCTTAGCATCTAGCTAAAAAAGTAAAAAAGTTGAAGTAACATTGTTGAAAACGCCAGTGCTTCTTAGTCTATCCCAGTGCGAAAAAAATAGGTTGTCGGCGGGACGTTTGCCGTTCCTAATCAACAATCTAAGCATTCCGGAACGTTACTAAGTTTCAGTTTCAGTTGATTTATTTGCCAGAAAAAAGTACATATACATACAGACATTCAATATATTACAAAAATGTTATTTAAAGATTAAAGAGACGTAAATTATAAGTAAAAGAATTAAACGTATTTTTCTGGCGAGGAAGCTCAAATAGAAACCTTGGGGCTTATTGAATAAGCTCCGACATCAACAGTACCGACAAAGTGGCAGATGAACGATAACAATGCACAGAGAATGACCAGACACGAAGAAGCATGCTAGTACTGTGGAAGTCATGAGAAAGTCAAATGCACTAGGCTACTTAGCTCAAAAAAGATCAGGAGTTAAGCGCAAAATATGACCTTCCATAGAATGTGTCCACTTTTAACTCTCTTGATTGATTTGAATGGTAAAAATCTATATGGACATTTACAAGAACACAAATCTAAACAGGAATTGGAAAAGATCAGTTAATTCATTTTTGCCGGTTTTAACTATTGCTGTTTCTTCGCGATCCCCCACCCCCTCCCTCAAAAAAATAAAACCTGCAAATAAAAACAACCGCAAAAAATAATATACATATATTCAAATTATATAGTTTCACAAAAGTCGCCCTTTAAAAAGGATGCTAGAGCAGTTGGTTATTAACATGAATCAGACTGTGCATGCATTAGATCATTCGATCACACACTGTAATCACGAGAATAACACAACTTAGAAGGACATCGGTAATCTGGTGATCTCGTACCCAGATCTTCCACGGCTAAGCGTAAGACAGATTGAGATCTGGGTACCAGATTAAGCTAGATTAGGACAACGGTATTAATTTCCGAATATTTTTCCGCCAGTATTTTCACTTCAATAAAGTCAAAAAACTGAAATGGCTTGCTTAGAATCGCAAAAGTGAATTCCAAGTGAGAAAATGTTGGCTGGGGTCAATTAAAAAAAACTTTTACGAGAATTAACAAGTATAACCATTGTTTTAGAGCCCGACCCCTGGTTTAGGCTATTTCAGAGTTGCAAAAACTCTCACTTCTAACACGAGGCTAAGTGCAAAACCTTAGTTGTGACAATGAGTTTTATTTGCATGAGAACGAAAAAGCATTTTCATAACAATGGCTTGGCACTTAGCCTCGCCTTTAAACAGAGGCTTGGTGCAACTCGGAAATGCCCTATGACTGCATGCACGTAAAAAATAAAAAGAGTTTGACAGGTTGTTCGCATAAAAAAGATCTTTAAGAGCAGCGAAAACGTATTATCTGTATATATAAGGGCATGACGTCTCTCGTGGCTAGCGATAAAATTTAATCATAGAAAATCTTATTTTATCGTTAATTGTTTTTTCTAAAATGCAGGAGTTACGAATGTTAAAGCAAAAAAATTTCTCAATTTGCTCAATTGCTGGGGTAACTTTGGATGCTTTCAAAAGAATGGCAAAAAAATTATTCGAAAAATGCTTTTGAGCCGCCAAGCAGAAGAAACCCGGTTTAAAAATTTAATCTCGGGATAGTGCTAATTGGCCTTCAACGAACTGGGTATAGGGTATGACTGGCTACAGTACCAGCTCCCATGGGCCCCTGCTAGCACTTGACCCTCAAGACTTAATTGTTTCTATGATGTTGTGTTGACCAGCATTTACGTAATACGTTACATGATTTGGATTTTAACTTTTAGTTCATGACGCCAGTGGCAAAGGACCTAATGCATGGCGCCTGTTCACTGGTATTCCTGTGGAGCGAAAACTATTGAGGCCCAGCGTGCTTTGCAATCAGCGTTCGAGACTGCATGCACCGCGCCATTTTGTAAGGTAGGAAGGTTTCGGCCTTTAAGCGGCCTCTTCCTAGCAAAATGACTGCGCAAGAACAAATGAAAAAGATGTTAGATGAGCTAATGGGAACCCAAAGGGATGGTAAGTAGTGATATGTATACTGCGAAAGCTATACGGATGCCCACTACTTCTTGCCATTGCATGTGTTGAAGTCTTTCCACGCTAATTGTATAAAGCTTACTTGAAATCATTTTCTTACACCGGTTATTTTAATTTTGCATATTGACTAAACTAGAAAACTGGGTTGTGATGTCGACGGTAGCTCAATCAAGTGGAGTGAGTTTTTGTCTTACACATGTTTCCTTGCTTGTCGAATTTTACCTTAGTTATTTTATACAAAAGGACGTTCTATTGCTTACGAAACTCGTATATATTTTTTAATGAGAACGCCTCGTTCATTCGTATTTGTAATAAAACTGTATGGTATTCTAGAAAGAGAATTTTTACATGAATTTACTGGATGATCTAAAGTTACTTTTCCTGAGAACGAACAAGACTAGCTAATATATACAGCATAACAGAAGTCCCTTGCTGTAGGTTCCTCATTGGCTTATAAAAATTAAAAGTCACATAAGCTTCAATGATTGTCAAAGATTATGCCTTTTTAACGAAAAATTTGCATAGATATTTCTTGTCTAAAATAACCTTCTGGTTTAAAAGGTTTCAACCCAGTTTCATTCTCAATTTCTTTTGTCTCCTAGCTGTAGTTATTCATTATCATGAATAATTAGGGCTAGAAAACAGGGAATAAAACTAGGTCGAAACTATTTTAACCTGTATTTTATTTTGACCTACAAAATACCACTTGCATGAAAGGTGTTCTAAAGACAGCTGTTTATGTGGCAATTTAATAATAAAGTTTACGACCAAAATACAAACAGGGCTAAAAATTGGCAGTTGCATGATAGCTAATGCTTGATCCCTCAGTATGTGACTACAGTACAATTGAGTAGCACTTTTGTGAAGTTCAGAGGGAAGAAAAAAAATAGCAAGCAGTTTCCTTGGACTCCCTTTTGTCTCCTTTTCTTCAGCTCCGGTTTATAATGATTTTAGATAATGAAGTGAAAAATTCTGAGCGATTTTGAAGTGTATTAACACTAGTTTAATATTTTTGTTGTCAGTTGATTCTGAGTCACCCAGAATATTTTGTGCTCCTTTTTTGGTAATTACCCTGCTTCAACATCACTTTAAGAGACCACCGAATTTTAGCCAGGGGCACTAAGAATTGAAGAAAACTGGTCCAACTGGGAACCAAGGCCTTGTCCACTGGTAATATTAGAAAACAGAGGGTTTTTTCCTCCGTTTTCGAAAAAATATGAATACGTACCTAGCACATGAAAACACCAAAACAATGGATATACAATAGCAACCCTAACAAAACATGTGTTTTGATCTGTTAACATGAAAACAATAAGCAAGCATTTAAAAAACTCCACTCCTTGGACCGTTTTTGAAAACTTGCACTTTTTGGTTTTCGAAAACACTGTTTACGTGTGGTACAGATGGCTGAATCTGAGAAAAAATCTTCATTTTCAAAAATATCTGGGTATGTTAATCAGGTTAAATTTTTTAACATAGGTTGATTCTCAATTTCTTTTGTCTCCTAGCCCTAACAATTCATAAATTAGTGCAAGGAGACACAGGAAGTCTAGAATCAACCAAGGTTAAAAAATTTTAACCTGAATTTAATTTTGACCAGTAACAGATACATGTGGATGGGGCCTTAGGTCTGTTCTTAACCCTTTAAGTCCCAATAGTGACCAACATCAATTTTCTCCTAACAATATCCATACAATGTCAAGAGATTAGGTTATGAGAATTAACAAAATGATCATCTAAGAGACGACACTTTCACCTTTTATCAAATTCTCTCAACCCATCCATGAAGGAAATGTATAGAGATCAGTTTGGAGAATTTGTATGTGGATGTTGGGGCTTAAAAGGTTAATTTTTAGCCCTGTGTAAACTAAACTGGAGCAGCTGTTTAGAAATGTCCTTTACCTGACATTCGCTTATTCATTCTTGACTCTGATGTTGTTTCTTTATACATTTTTGAAACAAGATTTTTCTCCTTTTAATTGGTCTGCTTCCACCCTTGAATAATTAGGGACCTTACAAAAGGGTGACAACCGCAGCAACAAGAATACCGAAAAAATTGTAGGTTTATTGGGCGAAACAAAAATTTCTTTTCCTTTGCAACTGCAACATATGATGACCAAATTTTGTGTTCTAGAGAATATGAAGTATGCGAGGACAATAGATTTCGGTGTATCTATGTGAACTCAGTTGCAGTTCCCTCCCTTTTGTTCTAAGGTAATTTTGTTGTTGAATTGTAAGGTCCCTAATGAGCGCTTGGGGTAGTACACTGTAAAGCTAAGGATAGTCTATCCCATCCCTTCAATCATGTTACATTGGATGAATGTAATGCTCCCTGGGTTCCAGTGATATAAACCCCACTGTCCTGTTGGCCATATTTAACAAACACATTATTATTGCTATAGCAGGTCTAAGTAACTTGTAATAGTTATATTTATGTGTACAAGACGATTGTTTAGTACACATAATGATTGTGATTAGGGATAAGATATTGTTCCCCAGCATTAATACTAGATGTTGAATGCTTTCTCAAACAAGGCTCACTGATAGTCATGTACATGTAGTGTGAGCAAGTTCATTGGATGCGTAAGTAGGGCGACGTAAGTAGGGCCAACAAATTTCAATTTTTATTTTGTTATGGTGGAGGGGAAGAACATACTGTACTTACAACTGAGGCACAATCAATGCACTTTCATTCTTAGATATTTAAAAATACAACTTAATGTCTTATCTCAAGAAGTGATTGAACTACTTTCAAGACATAGATATTATTGCTGAATTAGAGGACATTTCAGGGAACAGAAATTGGAATGATCAAAGTTCTTCATATGTGCATTGCAAAAGGGAATATCAAATTTAAATGGGATTGTAACTTTGAAAATAAGTATCAAATCCATTCCATTTAGTTGAATAAATTTCCATGAACAGCAAAGAGAAATGATTATGCAAAACAGGTGGCTGATGATTAAGAGAGGGCCACAGTTTGCGTTAGCTAATTTCCTTCAAAACTGAATAACACCAAACACTTTAACTACTCAGTCCTTCACTGTCAGCAATACGTTTTATTTAGAAATGGTGGTTTACATGCATTATCTGGTACAAAATGAGGTGTGTACTTTTGTCTTTTTGAAAGGCTAAACACTGCATTGTCAACCTAACTGTGTACTGTGGACACTCAGTTACAATGAGTATGATATGCTGAAAATTACAATCTATTTGGAGATGCTTTTATGGGTATTGTCTTAAGTCACAAGCATCATTATAGAGCATGAAATAGAATGCACAAAACAGATATTTTGGTAAACTACTATACAGTACTTACTCGTGGCAATACAACAGAATGTTAGATGTGGTACAATGTGTAACGATAGGGTGTACTAAACAAAACCATCACAGACTTGAAGACAGACAGTTTACACAAAGCAGCCTCATGATTAGATTTATGTAAGTGACTTGATGTACAACACAGGTTTTAAGCAGAACAAGACAAGAATTCTGTAGAACACAAAATAGTCATGACATGTACGGCTTTGTCACCAAACTGATCATGATTATTGAGGTGAATTTTATCTCTCGGGTCAATTAAATGTGTCCTGTTTAGTTCTTTAAGCCATAAATCTTTCTCAGACATAATTTTGTTTAGCTTTTGATTTTTTTTGTTCGTCATCTTCCTTATTCCTTTAGGTGCAAGGCCAGGAGATGAAATCAAGTTTTTTGATGACCGTGTCTGTAAGAGCTACCTTATGGGACTCTGCCCGCATGAACTTTTCAACAACACAGTGAGCAGTTTTTATTCTTTTTTTTTCATGTTCTCAAGTAACTTAATATCTTAGGTCTTGCTCACACAAGTCTGTTTGAATTTGAAAATGTACCTTTTGTGGTCCAATATTATCCTTGGTTTAACTTTTATTTCCTTTTATTTTTAACTTATTATCAAACTTTACTATAACCCAAAACAAAGGGAAATAAAAATTAAACCAAGGATAAAATTTATCCACAATAAATCCCACCTTTTTTCGCTTACAAGAGTGGTTTTGTCTTGTCTCCAATCTGATTAAGTTTATAAATGAATAATATGATATACAATGCTTCAGACAGTGTGCGAGTTCGGGACTGCACAATTCAACCAAAACCATAACAATAGTTCTGCATTATACTCAGTGATGCGGCTATACACAATTTAGTTTCTAGAAATACATGTTTTACTCTTCATAGCCACAATTTTTAGAACCTTTTAAGTGCTTTTCAGATCATTCTCTTTTTAAAAACAACACTGTTTTTGCTTTCTTTAGTCAGATTTGATGAACAGTCACGAAAAGCTACTACAAGGCCTTCTTTGTAGCTTTGCGCTGTCTTGGCACTAGTTATTTGTGAGATAGATTAGATATATACCTGATGACAGGGATTTTCAACAATTTCTCTTCCAGTGGTGCCAAAAGTCAAAATTCCAAAAGATAGTTCTTATTTTAATAATTTGAAAACATAAGCTATTGAAAATTTATATGTCGGGTCATTTATGGGAATCCCTCCTCCCTGGGCAGTGGTATAAGTGAGCACTGCAAATCAGTGCAAGACACTGATCTCAAGTTGGCAGTGTAAAACATGTTAAGGGAACAGATCACTCTAATGACTGCAGATCTGCAAATAATAGTCAGTCATCAGACAAGTAAAATTGGCCCTTGTCTGACAAAATCTCAACTGTCATTGGACATGATGTGTATGTTGTAGTTAATTTTTTTTATCTCAGGTGGCTTTAATTTTTCCTTTGCTTCAACTTCACTAGCATACATTATCATACCCAAATTCAAAAGAAAAACAAAAATTACCCGAGATAAAAAAATAACTGCAGCATGTCCAGACAAAGTTAATGCGTAAGACTATCATTTTGCAGACGATCAAAATCTATCTTGACTGCATGTAAATTGTCCTGTCAATGAAATAACACTGTTGCAGTGAACATATGGTGGTAGTCAGGCTACCTGTGAATCCATCCTGTTAATCATTAAAGACACATAATGTGTACGTGGTGGAGATTGACCACCATTAATTTGTTCTGTCCAACCCATGTGGTGTTTTAACCAGACATAAGTCATGCTGTACAGTGATGACATCTGGCAGATAAACTATCACCTGTCCTTTTCTAGAGTTTATTACTGCACTGTCATTCCTTCAACATTTTGGTCTCCTCCTGCTTTCCATAGATTTCATTGTGACCATAATTTTTCTAATTAACATTATTTTGTCATGAAAGATATGCCATGAGGAAATGAAGGGAGAAAAGTTGCTATTTTTTCCTTATTTACATTTGACTTACACTTTGCTTGTCTGTCACACAATTTACAGTGTGATTTAGCACCCTACCTTTTATCTGTACAGTTACTACTTATTTTACAAATTAGGTGTTCAGCCTTTACAGAGAATATAAACAGTTTTGTGTTTGTGTCCTGTCTATCCCTGATTAAGTCTTGTTGTGTCCCTTTCATGCTATCCATTGATGAACAGTGGATCTTCAAAGCTGTAAGTTAAAACTGTTCATTAAGCCATTTTTTTCCAAGTAAATTTTCTTAATTCCATCATAACCTGATTACCCTGCAACTTGCCATTTGCCGTATTTCTTGTTGTATGTTTCTCCTAGAAAATGGACCTTGGTCCTTGTAACAAGATTCATGAAGCAGCTCTCAAAGCTGACTTTGAACTTGCATCCAAGAGGAGGGACTATGGTTATGATGTAGATGTAAGTAGGGTACATGTAAAAGCTAAGGCTGAAGTGCTGGAAGTAAGATTGGTCATATTGGACATTGTCTGACCTATACTATTGTGTGCAGATAATTTTGTACCTCAGTGTTTTGCAAACTAGCGTCAGTGATAATTTATGAGAATATTTTTATCAGAATTATGCCTAAAAACCTTTCTGCATAAGGTGTGAAGGCATAGTCTATGTGAAGCTCCTTAAAACTGGCTGAATTACAGTACAAGCAACTTAAGCTGCAAAAAATGCCTTATTATAAATAATTATTATTTTTATCCCACTGAAAAATAATTTATTTCCCTGCAATATTCCATGGCACTGCATATATACAGTCAAACAGACCCTGCTGTCTGCATGGTGGCAGATTGCAATATTTCAAAGAAAAAATGAAATTAAGGAGGCTTTCCATTATCAGAACTGACTGGCCAGACCATTCCCATCGCAATGGGAATTTCACTTTTAATAAAAACTATCCAGCCAGATCAGTCAGATCCTAAATAGTATGCATGAAGGAGATGGCTTTTCAGCAAAAACTCTTGGAAAAAGCTTCTTGCTTTGTCAAAATGACTGGTCCAACCATGGTCTGGCCAGCCAGTTCTGACTTTTGGAAAGCGCCCTAAAAGGTCTGACCAATAGTGGAATAAATGCCCTTGAATAGCCATACTTTATTACTTAGGCTCCATGAGATACAGGTACATATAGCCCCAAAAATATGTAAAGAGTTGTGTCGTGAAATTTATTAAAATTCAAACTGTGGGAACTGGCACCAAACTGAATGAAACATAAAAATAACCACTAAAAACGTTGAAAGAAGGGACCACACAAAAGGAGGCACAGATGGACAAATTTGAAAAAGATTGAAATGGATTTTAATATTGTGGTTTTTGAATACTTGCTAGCCTAACAGTTTTTCAAAGTTCTTTTTTGTTGTTTGTAATGTTTGATATGCTGTTTGGAAGGTGTATTTATTTGACACAAAGCTGTGATCTTGTCATTCACAAGTTATATCTCAATTTTCATAGCAAAAGAGGACATGCAATTCGCATTATAAACCAAATGAACTCGTCATCTATGGCACAGCCCCTTTAATACAGAGGCTGGACTAGGTTTTTGAGAGACAAATTACAGGCTAATCGGTAGTTGTTTTATCTCCTAAATTAACCAGCAAATGGAACATCTTGAGTCTTTTATTAAGGACTGTGATAGGAAGATTCAGATTGCCAAAAAAAGGCTTGAAGAAACACAAGATGATCATCAGCATGTCCCTGAGGTATGTGTGAGCTTTATGGTATTGAATTACAGGGTGAAAAACTGTTTGTCAGTCCTTTCTTCATTCTCCCAGTCTAAACATTCATGGGTTTTACAATGCATGTTGCTTAGATGCCATTTCCTTGTAAATTTACTGTCTTATTTTTCTTCATGATAGCAAACCGGGGTGAATACAATCAGGCAATAACATTTAGCAAGGATTCAGTTATTGGTGGCTTTCCAGTTTGCTCGTGTCCTGAGCTTATTTTTTTAATTCGTTGAAGTTGATGCTCCTGAATAAGTGCCACACCAAAACATTGAAAAATCTAATAAGTGCCACAACTCTCAGACTGATCTGTAGTGTTGAATGCTACTGAAAGGTTTTGTCTTTCAGTCAGTGAAAACTGAAAAAAACTGTAGGAATGATTGCAAAAACTACTCAGGTTAAAATTCATTGGCTAACATTATTTTAATAATGCCATTTTTTTTTCATTAGGCCCAAGCAGTTCATGACTTGGCAGAACAAATAGGAAAAAAGCTTGCAGAAGCTGAAGCTGTTGGTTTGTACCTTTACACAGTGATTAAAATTTAAACTTGAAAGCAGTGCACAATCCTCTAGGATGATCAGAAAGCATATTTATCACCCCGTCTGTAAACCCACTCCCCCATACCTCAAATTTTTAAAACACATTGTGCCCTGGCCAGCATAAACCTTTTTATTACAATGGACTTCCTCGCTTGGCTTTAAGGCTGCCAGCCAAGTACAGTGTCTTCTTGTGAAAAGCCAATAAACGTCTTTAAGAGTCATGAGGGTAAAAGCGTGTGTTGAAGCTGTTGTGTACACATTGTACAGGTGCTGAGGGCAAAGTAGAGGAATCAATGGAGCTCATGAAGGAGGTGGAAGACTTGAAATCAAAGAAACGAATAGCTGAGGTAGAACTTATATATATTTATGTTTTTTTAAGTGGTACCAATGACTTGCCCCTAGTTGCTATGGAACTCAACACTAGTGAAGAAATAACTTGTAATTAATGAAATCAAAGCTCTGACAATCACTTGTGTTTCTCAAGCCCAGTATTTAAAATACAAAAACAGAGGTGAACTTTGAAAAACTGTTAGCCTATCTAGTTTCCAAAAACGTCGATTGCAATCTGCTTTAATCTTCTTCAATTTTTTTCCATCCTTCCTTGACCTTCCTTTGTATTTTCTTTGTTATTTTCAATGTTTTAAGGTCTTATTTTTATATTTCTTGCAATTTGGTGTCCACTTTCTACTGCCTGAATGTAGTTTAATGTCGTTTCACAGTTCCTTTTAAAGTCAGCTTTATATCAAGTTCATGATTTTGTTAAGCTTCTGCTGCTTTGCTTTGTACCATGTACAGCTCATGGCAGAAAAAAAAGAAAGAAGGAACGAAACAAGAGTTTAGTTGTTTTGCATAACAGATAGTATACAAAGAAATAAATACATGTACTGACAGCAGATGAAATGGTAATACCTTGCGTCGTTTGACACAGTGTATATTGCATTAGTTGAGGCTTCGTGTAGTTTAGGCCATAGTTGTTGATTTCCAATGTATATCTGGGTCAGGTGTTGAAAACACGCTGGCCAAAATACCTCTGTTCCTTTTTCCTCTCTAGGATATTTATCGAGAGAGCGTACCATCATCGTCTCTACAGCAACAAAAGTTGAGGGTCTGTGAAGTGTGTGCTGCTTATCTTAGCTTGTATGACAATGATCGCAGGTTTGTATGAATGGTCATTGAAACAGCCCTTTAGTTCTGGTTGGTAAGGTTAGAAAAGGTTTCAACAGTTTTCCTTTTTGCTACTTAACCAGGAGGACCGGTTTGCATAAGCCCCTGCAGAAGTAGTGCATGTGCCAGTAGATTTAGCAACAGTCTTTGAAATTGGTATCATGTTAATTAAAACCCCAGCAAGTATACCATTTCAGTTGTATCTTTGTTGCCAGGGGATATTCCAATACCACTTCATTATTCCGCCCCCGAGAGGGACTGGGAAAACGCCGTACAGGTACTAGGCAAGGATTATACTATAGCTCTTGATGGTATGTGGTTTGTACCGTGATGGAGATAATTTGTATTCAGAGATACCATCGCCTCTGCGCGCATAGCATGCCTTTATGTAAAGTTCGCGTAATGGTCTTCCCTTATGTCTCTTATCTGTAGATCTCATCAATTGCGACTTCAGCAAAATAACTTTCAATATTTTCTATTTCTTGTTTCCAGGTTAGCTGATCACTTCGGTGGAAAACTTCACATGGGATTCATCAAGATTCGCGACAGACTGAAAGAACTACAGGTACTTCCGGTGGTTTCCAGGGCGAGAAGTCTAGTGAATCATACTGGTTTGCGTTTGTTGACCATCTGTTTTCTACACACATAGTGTTGAAGAACATCTGAAGCTATACCAACAAATCAAAATTAATGTAATGGGCTTTATTGATATTTACATACCACCATACCAGTTCGTAGTACTAGTTAGTGTCCTCAAAAGCGAGATTCCGAAATAGAAGCGCACATTTCCATTCACCATTTTCACTAAGACCTTAAGTTTACTTGTTTGCCCTCCCCTCTCCCCCCCCCCCCCCCCCCCCCCCAACAAAAAAATTATCGTGGAGGGTGTTTTATATTTTCAAACCACCCACACACTGCCTTGTACTAATTTTTCGCCCCCCAAACGGGAATTCTCCAAAAGAGACCCCCTTTTCCTTTTCCCCTTTTCCCCAAACCCCTAAATTTTTTTTTTTTCCCCCCCCCCCCCCCCCCCCCCCCCCCAGAAAAGAAAAGTTTGTAAAACTAAAACTTTTGTCATCGATTCCTTTTGGGACGACTGTAATTTTTTTTTTTTTTTTTTTGAAGGGGAGGGGGGAATAAACAAGGTGCATTATGGTCTCGGTGAAAAGGGTACCTTAGGAAAAAAATGCTATGTATAAGAGGGTTAACGTGCATCATTTGTGAGATAGTCATAAATGTATAATGGCCTGAAGCAATTGAAATATATTTTACATTTCTTTTTTTTTGTATGTGACTCCGGAAAAGGGAGAGTCCTTCACAGCGAGAGTTAATTTCGGTCATAAGTCTGTCATTTATTTTTGGCTGAGATTTAGCCATCGTTCGTATCACTATCAGGGTTGTCCGCATGACCAAAGTTGACTTACACCTCATTAAAATACTCCTGAAAAGTAACCCTCTGTTGCGGTTCATCCGTTATGGGAATAGTTTATGAAATTTTCTTTCATCGCGAAGGCGTAATGCATGTGGTTTTCCTTTCGCTGTCTCTAGGAGGGGGTAGCTAAAAAACGCTCCGAGAGAGAAATGGAGCGCATGCGCAGACGGGAGGAACGAGAACGTGAGCGGGCACAAGAAAAAATGGAACGGGAAAAAAGGATGAGAGAAAGAGAGCGCGAAAGAGAAAAAGAACGGTTGGTATCGGGTGTTCCTTATGAATCTTGGATAAATACTTTTACAATTAGGAAACTTGTAACTAAAGGTAACTTCTGAGTTAAAGATTACTTTGAAGGTGATGTTACACGCAACGATTCACAACGACGATTTTTAGCGCAACACAGCGTTGCAATGTTGGAACAGTGTTGTAACTATTCGAAACAATGTCGCAACAATGTTGCAACGCTGTGTTGCGCAAAAGATCGTCGTTGCGAATTATACTGCTTGCAGTCCGCCTTTTCTCTCAAAATCCGTCTAGTTCTTGATCTCATCCAGCGCGATTGACCACCACGAGCGGCTTTGCGTGTAGTAACTTTGCAAAGAAAAACAAGAGACTGCTCGCAGTCTATTGCGTATCGTCTCGTGTAACATCCCCCTAAGATTTAGTGATCGTTCGAGAGGCTACATTGAGCTCTCGAAAGACTATTGGATGTGATGTCCAAGAACCTTGTAGGGGGTTTTTAACGAGTCTTGTCTGCTGTGTTGTGTAAATCGTCTTCCTGGCGCCTGGATATCAACTGAAAAACTTCTCGTGTTTGATATACGGTCGAACCTCTCCTAAGCGACCACCCAAAATGCGAGTGGTCGCTAACGAGAATTGATCCACAAGGGGTGTTCTTCCTAGAAGAGGTTTGAACACTTCTACATTTTTGAAGAGATTCATTGAATGCAATTTCTTAGTTACAATATGTGTAGTTTCGTGTGGTCACTAAACGTTCTTCGCATACTTCCGGAAGTACATTCAGCGAACATGGGGATAAACCATGCGCAAGGCGGCCGCTTAAACGAGGGCAAAAAGAATGGAAAATTCTAAAACTGTCATCCAAAAAAGTCTTTGCGGTCTCTTATGAGCCGCTCCAACTGTAGTGAATTGACTGGGAAAATTTTGGTGTTTTGGATAGGTGGTCGCTTACGGGAGTGTTTCCTTATTGAGGCTCGATTGTATCACTTTGCACATTATTTAATTCCCTCTTTTGTTCAATACTTGATCTTTTGATTTAAAAAAAAAAAAAAAAAAAAAATTAAATTTTTTTTTTTTTTTTATGGAATTTTAAGGGAAAAAGAAAAAAGTTGTAAATAAACTGGTTAAAAATACCAAATGGTGGGAGGGAAAACAAGGGGTTTTTTTGCAAGGGGACCCGGGGTTTTGGATCTGGGGGCACCGGGAAAAAATCCAAGTGACGGCCAGGGCGGCCCCTTCCAACGCTGCCTCGCTGAGCTATAAAAGGTCAAACAAGGGAAAAGTGGTGACAGTAACTTTGATTTCATATTTTGGCCTTTTTGTTTGACACGAAGTGCTTCTTTTTTCCTTTTTGAGGTCCGATTGTTTTACTTTTACCTTTATTTTATTCCCTCTTTTTTTAAATACTTGATTTTTTGATTTAAAAAAAAAAAAAAAAAAAAACTTAAATTATCCTCTCTCCTTATGGGACTTTTCAGGGATAATGAAACAAGTGTGACATAACATGGTTAAAAATACCAACTGGTAGGAGGCAAACCAGTTGGTTATTTTACAAGCGTGACCGAGGATTTGAACTCGGGACTACCGTGAACAAATCCAGTTAGCGGTCAGGGCGTGACTTGAACTCGGGGCCTCCGGATTACAAGTCCAGCGCTCTAACCACTCGGCCACGCTGCCTCGCTGAGCTATAAAAGGTCAAACAAGGGAAAAGTGGTGACAGTAACTTTGATTTCATATTTTGGCCTTTTTGTTTGACACGAAGTGCTTCTTTTTTCCTTTTCTAAGCAGAAGTCGCCGTCGCCGCAGCAGAAGCCGAAGTAGAGAGAGGAGAAGAAGAAGAAGGTGAGACTTGTAAGATATTTGTGTTGTGTACAAATCCTGAGTGCTAAGCACGGTGCTTTTGTTCAAATTGCGACTGGCTACAAGCGTGGTAAGCAAATGTATTGATATTCTATGGAGCAGCTTGTTTACCTTCATACTATTAATAGGGAGCTTTAGCAACGACGACGACAACGGCAGCGAGGACGTAAAAAACGCGATAGGTTTACGTTAGCAAAACAACAACTCTGTACGTGCAGAACACTTTTTTGTACACTTCTGTGCCGTCACTTTACGACTATAACGTGAAATCCCTCCAGCGACGTTTCACGGAGGACGTAAACACAACACGAGTGACGACGATTTTTTCTTTTCCCCTCTAAACGTGGGTTCGGTCCCCAAAGATTCAATTCCAGGGAAACTAACTTGGTTTTGACATTCAAAGCGAGTTGAAATAATCCCGAATAATGTGCAAAAAGCGCGAAAACGTTTTAATAGTCATGTTTTCGCTACCGTCGCTGTCGTCGTTGGTAAAGCTCCCTATTAATATGCAATTACAGAATGTTGCATCACGTGAACAATTAAATTTTACCTAGAGGGAAAAAATGGTCAAATCACAAGAGGATAGGGTTTTATAAGCCAACAGAATTACAATAACCTAGATGAAAAGGAAGCGAAGTTTATTGCTTGGCGGAGGCAACAAACAAAGCTACTTCCCTATTATGATTTGATAGAACATTAGGTAACGGACAAGGAGTTACAGAGCTATAAGACCTTAAAGTGCCTCATGGCTGGTATTAAAGTCTATGTTATCAACCCTTTCGGCCCGCGCGTGAGAACGCCTAGGGCGTGCGAGCTCGCGCGTTCGATTTTGCCTTTTTCTCCTTCCCCCTTCTTTTATGAACGACTGCCACGCGTGCTTTTGATATCTCGTAGTTCTTGAACAGTATTACCCCATGTTTGGAGAAGAACTGACAGTGTTAATTTGATTGAAAATGATTTTCAGGAGTCGGTCGAGGTCAAGGTCCCGTTCCAGATCGCGATCAGGTTCTAAGTCTCGTACGAAGAGCAACAGGACGTCTTCCCGCCGCTCTAGATCCCGGTCCCGCTCTGCCTCCCCGAAAAAACGCAGTAAATCACCGCGACGGTCTCCGTCAAGATCGCGCTCAAGATCTAGAAGCTAGAAGTCCCTGGTAGTTTTTAGACTTAACCCGACTGGAGGTTCATTCACCTGGCTGCTGTAAAAATTGCCGGTCTGTTATTTTATTGACGAGATGTTGCTTCTGTGGTCAAGCTTCAGTCTTTGCTGTGCTTTCTTTTCAGCAAAGCTTAGCGTAACTGTTGTACTCGTAGTGCTCCCTATTCAGCTAACAAATTACTATCTCTTATTTTTTGTGCGGTAGGTTTTAATGGCCTATTTCAACGAGACTTGTAATGCTTTGCCTGTTGAATTTGTTCGTTGTAGCAGAATTATATTCACCTTCACTTGTCATCCCTTCCGTTCATCAGTTTCGTTAGATTTAGTGTTCTGTTAATAATTAGAAAAAAGTGATTGTCAAATTGTTTCTCTAACGATTGCAACTAGTGAATATATTGTGTAACGTAGTAAAAATCTTTAATACTAAACTGAAAGAAATACCAAATTTTCCCTTGAAAATGGCTAGGTTGTCTTGAAATTCAAACTACAAATTTTACCCATTTTTACAGCTCTATATAAAACTGCCAAAAATATCTTGCCGTCTAGATGAACCGATTTTAGTACTTACGATCTTGGCGCCTTTCTTTGTTTGTTTGGTAGTTCGTGGCAAGTACGTGAGAGGACTGGGTAAAAACTTACCCGTGCATACTTGCTCGTGAAGAAAAACATGGCGGAAAACGAAATACTCAATGTATCGGCGTAAGGACTCGTCACTGTACTTGTTTTTCATTCTCCTTCTATGTTCACCTGACTAAAATTTCAAAAAAGGGATCAGGTGATTTTGCTGCAGCTGTTGGATTTTATTCTTGTCCCAGCGGCTCGAGTGTTATCCTTAACCACTTACCCAAACGGGCAACCTGTGCAGCTTACACACTTGCCCAACGCATAATTCTACTTGCCCCGGGCAAGTGGGCAAGCGTTAGTGTCGAACACTGTTATTTTAAATAGGGAGCCACTCGGCGTAACCCGCGAGTTACTCGCTACATACACCATTGTGGATTTTGAAAATTGAATATTTCTGGTTTGTTGAAGTTCTTCAACTGAAATCTTTTCAGAAGAGCTTATATGTGTAAAATTGCTGGAACGTCATTGTTTAGAACCTCGCATACTGTTCGATTCTTTTGCGATTTAAATTTCAGCTGTTCTACCTCGCAAATGTTTTTGTCTCATAACCAGGGTTCGTACGCGTCTTGAAAACCCTTGAATTTCAAGAGTCCTTTTTCAAGGCCTTCAAAGTCCTTGAAATTCTCTTTCGTTCATTTTGGTCCTTGAATTTTAGTCGAAGAACATTGGCTAAGAATCACCGTCACTATTACTGTCTTGTTCATTACGGAGGGTAATTCTTTGATAAGTACTCACAAAGGAATTTTTATAAAAATGGTTGCCATTAGGAAAAAAGGCCCATTATTATCAGAATATTGTTATAGTTTATTTGGAACCTGGCCTAAGAGTAATAAATAAGCTCCTCGAAATTTGAAATTGTGGTCCTTGAAAGTTCTTGAAAAGTCCTTGAATTTTACAGCAGAAAAAGTGTACGAACCCTGCACGGTAACGCAACGCCCCTCTCTTCCTCCTATCCTGTTGGGAGGAGCGTTTCAACTTGCCTATCTGGTATGGCTTACCTCAGGAGGCTGAAAAACGCCCAGTGAAAGAAAACAAAACAAAAACACAAAGGGGAAATGATTCTTCTCTCCACCCCGCCCCTCCTCCCTTAGTCTTTTCCTTGGCTTTTCAAAATGGCAGCCGCGATCAATGTACCTCTTAGTTTCCGTTAACAAACGCCTGCTCTGCAGGCTACTTATGTAAAAAGTCTCTCTGATGCCATTAAATCTGCCCAGGCGGTGGTCACGTGAAAGGCCGGTTTTAGTTCTTGTTGGCCGACAAGAAAGCGTGAACAGGGTGGCAATATTTGGGAAACTCAAATTATTAGTAACAGTTGTTTACATCTGATTCATTTACTGTTTTTGCCTTTTACCATTTGAGCTTAGAATTAGCCCATGATTTCATCCTTGTGTTAATATATGATTAAGTTTTTTCCTTACTAGCTCATTACATTTTTGAATTTTTTGAACTATACTGCTTTCGTAACAAGACTGATGGACGGCCTGTGGATCTTTTATATGTTTGTGGGAAACTTTCACAGTTGGACCCAAGCGATCCATACATTTTTGGACCGAACTTTTTTCGCCCTGGGTTATACGGAAAACATGAAGATAATCCGGGAAAAATATATAAGTCGGCGCGCGGGGACATGAAATTTATGTATTATTCTGTTTATTATATAAACAAACATGCGTTAATGTAAGACAATCTAAGAGCAAGATCAAGAAAGCAACACTAATTGCCGTGGCTGCCGTGGCCCTTGGTGTCTTCTCTTATAGAGTTTTCACAAACACGAGCTAAAGTAGAAGGGATGCAAGGCGACGACTGCATACTGCAAAGGCTGGTGTTGTCTTAGAATCACCAGTGGGTCACTGATTGGCTGATTCTAACCACGATAAAATTATCGTATTTTTACTTGTTTTTAGAAACGACTTACCCTGTTAAACCCAGGATTAAACACTGATTAAAACTCTCAAGTTTGTATAACAAATATCATGGTTTGAAATGACTGGATTAAGGGTTTCAACAACTTCTGACCCATTAAGTTCAATTGAAAATAAAGTCAGTTTCCAAGGTTTCTGTTTTCACTTGGTGGAATGACCTAGTAATTAAAATTCACAACGCGTCGAGCTTATTTTTCATAAATCAATTTTGCAGAGGTGATAAATTACTCAGACCAACGTTGACACAGTTGCTCTTTACATATTCTCGAATACAGTGTGTTTGGATCGCTATTATCAATTTCAGCTATTTCAGTGGAGCAAGCTTGGAATACTCGTTGCAGCATTAGGTAAGAAGAGCTCTAAAAAGTACCTACGTAGGATGCTCAGTTTGCACTATAGGGTTAATGGGGGAATTCCTCACTGTCAATTTGTGTAGTGGGAAGTGGTAAGCATAATAGACAGTTTAAGATACGGCAACCATGAACAACAGACTGCATCCTACACAACTGAACACTGTTCAAATGATCCGTCCTTAATATCATTTTACACACTGGATGCAAAGTCTTTTAACAAAGGACCCCAAATCGTGCTGAGCTCCCTATGGCTGGAGGTGAATTAGTAACTTATATCCGTGTTCGGCTTTAGTCACTCTAAACATCAAGTAGTACCCGTTAGCTTTAGCTGATTGTCCCATCCATACAAGACTACGGATAATCGCCAGACAAAACTGAATTAAAATCATTGGATCTAAAAATACCAGTTTTATTTATGCTGATTATCAAAAAGAGTGTGGTAAGAAAGTAAGGATAAACAAGACGACTGTTTTCTGCATGTGAATTATCTGTTCGGAGAAGCAAATATTGCCTATAATTTTCTATTACTTAAGGAAGGCTGAAAATTTCTGGATGACCGTTCCATTTAGGTACAATTTTCGAAGCTTATCTAACCAATTCCCTACGATTTTATGAAGTTATAACTTCTCACATTTTACTCCCCATGTAACGCTAATTTTCGTCGAAAAAGTAGGGGTGCAATGATTCATATTCCTTGCGGTTCGATTCGAATTCGATTATTGCCTTTCAACTGCGATTCGATTATGTAAATGTTTCTTAATTCTTATAACATAACGCGTAATGTAAATTACATGCAACCCTAAACCCTCAATTTCAGGGGCTCCCAACGTCAATTTTCGGAAAATATCTCTTCGGAAGACGATTTGAGGTCTAGAATTTTCGGAACATTCATTGTAAAATTTCTTGCTTGCCTGCCTCTCCTAGGAATTTCGAAAATCTAAAAAATGGAATAATTGCCCATTTTTAACCGATTTTTACCCTAAAAACGTCACCTAGAATTTTCGGGAGCCATTTTTCTGGCTGAAATTCTCGAAAAGGTAAGTTTTGATCCCCAGAATTTTCGGATCACTAGACTTTCAGCTAGGAAATCCGAACAGATGAAAAATTTTTAGCGGATAATAGTATGCCTGTATCTAACGTTTAAATACTAAAATACGTTTAACAATGCTATGTTTAAGTGGTTTTGAACTACATTCTCGTTGGGTGCCCCTGCAATTTGAGAATAGTGGCAGGGACAGGAGGATTCACAGTCGCTTGGCTCGTCGCCATGTTTGAGAACCTGACAAAGAGCGTGTCGCACATAGTTTGCCTTATTTGGAAATTCTCAAAGGGTGGTTGAAGGACAGCATTTTTACCATCAGGCAACAAAAAATGCGCACGAAATGCTATCGTCTTTGCTCGTCAATAATAAACGCACAATTTAAAGCGTTCTGGATTCCGATTTTACAATCTAATAACTCACTCAGGGCACCCTGGAAAAGGTCTGCAATAATCGAACCAAAATCGAAACGTGGAAGCAAAGAATCGTGAATCGAACCGTCGGTCATGATCGCGATTAATCGAGAATTCGATTAATCGTTACACTACTACATACAAAAAAGGGAACCTAAACTTTTCGGATTCAAAAATTGATGGAGAGAGGAATAAGAACAACTCTCACTCTTTTCAGAAAACGTTCAATTGCGTCGAAATTTTCGGGGAAAATAATACTGAAGCCCTTGTAATTTCGTAAAGACTTAAGTTCCCCTAGGATGACCAAACAGAAGCAAATTTTATAGCGCCACTTAGAATGCATTTCTTGATATCTATTAAGTACTCTCGATAGCCGAAAAAGAGTTTTCAGTGTATTTAGGAGGAAACCACCGTTGGGTACCCCTGGGTTTTGTCCATGCACTGACGGGTAAGTGTTAAAATAGACCTCATCCACGAATACGTTTGAGGGTTTGGAAAAATGGATTCATTTCAAACAGTTAAAAATCTATTATAAGAATACAGTCGAAGTTCTTACGACCACTCTCCCATTGAGTGATTAACACTAACAACAACAACAACAAAACAACAACTTTTATTGAAAATTGGAAAATAAC